GTTTTTTTTTTTTTTTTTTTTTGTAGAAGGTGAAATAAGAGCAGATTATTCTAGCTACTTATGAAAGCACTCCCATTTTAAATATCGAATCCTCATAGGAAAATACACTTCTCACATGGCTCTAGATATAATCAAATAGCACATATAATAATCTTTAAAAAAAATTTTATCCCTTTGTATTATTAGTTTTAATCTAAATAATTAAGAAACTTTATTTATATTTTTGCGATACCTTATATTATGGTCATTCAATATTGGGATATTTGCAATAATGTGATAAAATGTGTTTCGAATAAATTTAAAATATAATCTTTAAGGCAAATGTTTACATTTATTATTTGTAAGATTATCATAGTATTATATATTATTGTATTTATATTTTACTACTTAACGAATCGCATGAATCTAAATTACTCTCGGGAAAACAAAAAATCAAAAGCATCTCAGTTTGAAATGGCACATGGAAAATATTGTTTTATTCATGAAGTTTCTTATACGTCTATAAATCTAAAAAATTGAGGTGCATCTACGTATACTCAGTTTAAAGTTAACAAATTCTCAATGACAGTATAACATTATGACTCTTTTTAATAATCGTCAAGTAGAATTAAGTAGGTGTATAGATATTTCTGAAAATCTGACATAAAACAAAATGGAAAAATAATCGACTGATGTAATGCAATGTGTATGAACCAAACCCTATTCAGTTTTTTTAAACACATATATTTGATTTAATATTTTTCTTGCCCTTATCTCTCAAATAATTGAATACACAAAAACTTTTAATTAGTCTTTAGATAAAAATCACCAATAGCATGTTATACACACACGTGATAACGTCCCGTATCTATTCTCACTAAATTGCTTTAAACTTTTATTAATTTATTGAACTTTAAAAGAAATAGGAAATAGATTGGTTTTTATAGAAATTTAAAACCATGCGCTATTTATCATGGTGTAAACATCAATTTTAAATTAAAAGTAGTGACTTTAATTACGATTATTTGATTATTTTTATAAATAAATTATTTTTCGTCTACATATTTTCAATCACATAGAATAGGATGATCTACACACTATACGTTTTCAATACTTTTAATTTACCACTAAATTATCTTAATAACATTTTTATTTTACCAATAAAACTTACTTATTATTTTTTAAGTTATTATTTAACTACTTAAGAGATTATAAAATTATCAATATTTTATCTTTTTTTTTTTTTAATTTATTGTAACAATCATTGTTTAAATATTTAGTTATTTATATTTAATTAAAAATAATATTCTTCACTAGATGTTATCTAAGAATAGCATTGATTTATTTACATAAAATAAAAACTATTTCCGTCATTATCTTACAATAAAACAAACATTTTATTAATATTATTTATTTATAGATTGTTATTTGTTTTCGAATCTAAAACAACCAAAACTCAACATTAAACTATAATTTGAGTCTAATTATATATTTTCTTATACAGACAAATTAGAAGTTTATATCATATGTCAAACTAATGAGCCACAACAGTTTAGACTTATAGTTATTACAAAACCTAAGAATCTAATAATCATTATTTCTCCTTATAAAGCAAATTTAGTTCATAATTAAAATATTTATTTGTATTAAGATGTATTTTAAAATAAATTATTAAAGTTAAGATAAAAATTTAAATTTAAGATTCAGTTTTACTAAAAATCAGGTATTATCTTATTTATGTAACATATATTAAACTTTTAATTTTTCATAATAACACTTTAAAATGTATTTCAAAGTTTAAATTAAAAATGATAATTGTTTCAAGTCATTATTCTTTAAAAGATGTTTAATTATGGTGCAATTATATCATGCCAGTATGTTAAATAAAATAGGCTTCATTCAAAACCAAGAGTAATCATATTTTAATGATTTTTTTTAATTTATTTAAAAAAAATTTAGAATTAGCGGATCATTATAATGAAAATAAAATTATTAATTACAGGTAAATGCGTAAGATTCAAACTATAAATCACTCAATACGTCAAATTTGCTAAATGGATGAGTACTGCGAAACATTAATCTTGGGTAAGTAAAAAGATTTTATAAGTATGTTTTATTAGTATAGAAATTGTTTGTTTTTTTTTTTTTTGTGTAATAATGAATTTTTTTAATTGATATTAATTAAATCACTTATAAGTTATTAACAGAAAAAATTGTTTGCTCATTTATTTTCTTTGGATAATACTTGTTTTAAAATTATTGAGAATTCATAAAAATTAAGATATAAAAATTAATATCAAGTGAAATAATACAGTAAGATCGTAGATCATATCATTTTTTACTATTTTATGGATCATACATTATTTTAATTATTCCGTAATGGTTTTTAACCTCATCTTTTTTTAATTTTTCAAAAAAATTCACTTTGATTATTATGGCCAACAAATTTATTATCATCATAGAATGCTGTCTGAATCCGATGTTTTTCATTATTTTCCGATATTGATTATTATTATTATTTCTAGCTATCAATTGTTTCTTTTGGAGCTAAGTAGACAACATCTCTAAATATTTTCACTCATTGTCATCCCTAATTATATGATCGTTATCAATATCAATCTAAACCTGAAATATACAATAGAAACGTTTAAAAACTATTTTTTTATACTTTCCCCTACTTTTCAACAAATTGAAAATATTAACACAAGCAAAATAAAACTATGACGTTGTTGACACATGATGTTAAGGTCTTCTAAATAGATTCAGATAATTTATTACTATAGTATGAGTCCAATAAATCATCTTATCTTGTAGAAACACAATGGAAACAAAATAATTGAAGAAGGTAAACATTTCATGAATAAATTTGTCTACTTTTAATTAAACTTCCTTATATATTGATCATGTTACACGGTCATAGCTTTTCAGTACAAATGTTTAAAATTAATTTTTATACTAAATATAATTTTTTTCAATATGTAAAAGACTATTATTTTTTATGAAACTTAAATATTTGATGAATTGCTTTGTGGTGTTTTAAAATAAGTATAAGTGCCAAATATGTAAATTACGAGTTATGGAACTATCATGTAAAAACATTATACACTTAAGTATGATCATAATAATGAAATCCCAATAAAAAATAAACTAACTTATTATTTTTTCTTAAAATTTTGAAAGTGTTTTTAGATTCATCGTTTTAAAAGTTGCATATAAAATATTACACATAAATAATAACTTAATTATTTAAAATAATATTACATGGAATTATTTCCATCATCTATAAGGAATAAAATAAATTCTGTTTAATTACGAAATAGCTTTTAAATAATTGTTAAACTCAATATAATTTAATTTAATTAAAATTATTCTAACGTTCTTAATTGAAAACTTTTGTATTAATACTGTTTCACCAATTATTTATAGTCCAAAAAGGAATGGCACTTTTAATATTTGATATAGTGTAAAAAAATACTTTTTATATAATAATTGGACTCGTTGCGTTATAAAAAAAATAGCTTCTCTTTTTGAGTACAGCATTGAGACGATCTTTAAGTGTACTATGTGTAACGGTCATAAAAACAGATATCTGAAATGGCATGTGCGATAGGTGTAATAATAATAAAAGTTATACTAGCCAACAAAAAACTAATGCAAGTATCAAGTAAATTTAGTACAATTAGGTCGTAAAAATACCGTTTTCTTAGCTCAATATTGTATGCATTTAAGTATATTGTACAACTCTAGTGTTCTAATTTAACACTACTACAGCTAAATGTGCAATTTCCGAATAAAAATTTATTTATTGTTCTTCATTACCTTTTCATTAAGTGTAAGGATTATTTTTACAAAAATCAGATCTATTCAACATGAATAAACTGAATGGTAGTTTAGCATTTCAATGGACTTTAATGAACTGATTCCGAGTTCTATATACAAGGACATTTGCGTGCACCTAAAAATGCTTTCAATAAAATTGGTAACAAAATAACTATAACATTTTACAACCTTATGGTAAAACAAAATTGATCAGAGGTGTCCACAGTTTTAAAACAAAGCATAACGTTACATAACTGAAAAGCGATGGATTATATTTGTGTCACTTTGTGTATTAAGTTTGTAAGAAGGATGCTACTAAGTGACATGTCTATTTTTGTATTTTCTTTTTCCAGCATGTCTTTACACCGCCATTTTTGAACATTTGATCAATCTTTATTTTATTTTCGGAATAACATTAATACATTTTCATATAATGAAAATATTGACACAATTTTTATACCGATTCAAGAAAAACACATTACATCATATCGTTATGTATATGTTATTTTTTAAAGCAACAAAAAATAATATTAAAGCTTTTATTTAAGTCATTTTAGAAAAATAGTCTGTTTAAAGTAACCAACTCAACTATTCATACTATTTTTTATACTATACTGCAATGGATAAATGAAAATGTCTTTTTAACATGTATATTTATATTTTCTAAAATATATATAAATGAAAAACAACTACCGCACAAAAAATTACACGAGAATAAAAATTCAATACTAATAGTAATAACAATAGTCAAAATGAAATAAAATTGACTCATTATTGGGTCAAATTAGTATACCCTTTATCACATTCTTATTTATGTTATTGTCATGACATATATTTGGCTACTTCTGAATTATAATCTTATAAAGAAATTTATCTCTACTAAAATATTCTCATTAATGAGCATAAAGTTTTATTCCCTTTATTATTGTTGTCATACGCAATAATGTAACTCGAAGTATATATTTCCGCAAATGTTACGAATCAAGGCAAACGCCGTAAATATTTAATGTCTTTGGCAAACACCGATTTCTCAGACTTTATTATCCATAAATCACAAATGTTCTTAAAAGGCATGCAAATTATTTTACGTATAATTTAATATTCATGTTAACCAAACAACTATCCGTCACATTTATTACCCGATCGTTTACGACAACGATGACAGAATACTATTGAAATAAAATAAAATATCTCATAAAATACCCTAAGTCTTCAATGCTAATAAAATTGAATGAAAATACATATTAAGTAAATCGTAAGTAGTCATTAAAATTATATCAATAGCACTGAAAATTACTTAGAATTTATTAAATTTATTAAACATGAGTCCAATATAATATAGTTAAACAAAAAACTTTTAATAACTACGCTTAGATTTTGTCGTAAAAATCCTTAAATTACTAAATTTTTGTTTAATTTATCTTTACTTAATATTAAATAACAGCACATCTACACTAGTTTTTGAAGAAATAAAAATAAAATAATAATCGTTCATAAAAAAAAATAAACTGATGGCGAACATATTCTTGTTTCCAATGTAAATTCCATTCTATTCTAAAATGTTATTTAGACTTTCAACAATAGGACTTTTTTATTTGACACGTTATCAATGATCCAATTATTATTATTAACATGAGATGTGAATTCAAATTTTCTAAATTTTCCCTCGCAAATGTTAAAATTTATTATTCAATGTACCCATTTGTTTTCAATTTTTAGTAAATTATTGTTACTTTTAATCATAAAGAAAAATGAATTCAATCAATATCATAATGGTTCACTGCAGAATTTAAATATAAAGTTTTATCGTTTGAAACTCATCTCGTGGGTATCTAAAATGACAGTAATTTGGTCAACAATTTCCGGTGGACGCGTTTACCAAACGATTTCTATAGAAGGTTTGTTTAACATTGCCTTCAGGGATAAATTTAATCCTGACTCCGGTAATTGTGTTTAGTCGCCTGTTGGGTAAGCAAAACAAAGCGACAGTGATGAATACATATGAACAATTAGACAGCATCAAAAAACAAAATCGCGAAAAGGAAGATCTACCCTGAATAAATGAGAGGAGTTAGAAATACAAATGTCACAAGTACCAAGCAAAGGAGATATAGACTCAAATTGACCAAAACGCGTTTAAACGGTTATTCCCAGGGGCTTCGGTCTAAATGTATTGTCCGATGCTCAGTTAATTGGTCAATGTAGATACCGACGTAGAAATTTAATTGACAAAGCCTTTATAACAACTGCTACTACATAAAGCTTAATTAATCATACCTATCACTCTGTAAGACTATAAGTACCCAAACAATTAACAATTAAAGAAATACAATGCTGTTTGCTATTTAAATGTGTTACCTATAATGCAGGGCATCTATCAATTAATCATATAAATTAAAATGTATAATCATAATAAGCGAGACTAAAATTTACATATGGTTGTGTAAATTTAATCAAGCTAAAAAACATACGACTAGACAAATACGCTTAATTTAAAATTACGAGTAAATTAAAAACTATCATAAGTCAATAAAAGTTAACATAATCAGAGTATAAATTTTTCCTTTTAGATATTAAATCGATTTTTGTAGTTTAGTTTTGATACATGAATGAAAGACTAACATTTACTCTTTTTTTCACGCATAATAATATCATATAAAACGGCTGAACGAGTAGGCAATTATATAGCATTTATGATGTATAACAGTTCATTGCCTATATTGATAATAACGTTAATATTTTTTTACATACCTTTAATTTATATAATATTGTAAAAAATCATCTTGAAATCCGACGAACATAATGGTTCAATAATGAGGTAGCAAAAAGTTTTTTTTTTGTTTTTCACCTATTTTTAATCTATATAATGTAATCTGGACTCGGATGTTCAAACACCATAGCAAACTCAAGACGTTTCAAAGAACAGTCTGCAGCGAGTTTTGTCATGGATGAATGAATGGATTTTGACGCTAATATAAATCCTACAGAACATAGTTCATAAATTTCACGTAATAGAAAAACCAAAAATGTTTTAATAATACTTGTGCCTAGTCATACCTTGCAATAAAAAGACAAATCATTTAAATTTACTTGATAATAATTATTAATATAAAATTCAAAACGTAATCTCATTTCTTAAGCATCCATGAAAAGAGTAGATATGAGATCCTATAGTATATGTAAATACATGGATGGGAGATTTTTTTTTTATCGATTCCTTCCTTCAAAGTGAATAGCAACTTTTGAAATTTAGTTGTTTTAATACC